TAAAGTGATGCCAGAAAACGATATTTTTGTTAGTCAAAAACGGTATATATATATAATTACTCCAAAAATAAGACAAGACACTTTTATCGTCCTTTTTTCTGTAGAGGAAGTAAAGAAACCGTAACTTGGGATGTATTTGTTGTTTGGGTGCAATATATGACTCAGCAGCTTTAAGAAATGAAGAAACTATTGTTTTCCGCTTCGCTCTAATGCATTATTTTCGCTGGAATGTGAGCGGGGCCGGAATTTTGCCGTAAGTGACGTTAGCGCCCTCATAATATATTTTTCTAGAAAACCCCTGACAGTCATGCTACTTTGTGTTCCATGATCCATTTCTAAAATAAGCACGAAACATTTACTTGCGTGATCCTTCAAGCTTAACGCTAATGTTTGTCTGCCAACTTCTCAAGAGAGGGAGAAAGTTCATCCCTCTTCCGCAAAGTAGTTCCTGTGTGTGTGTGTCAACTAGTTACCCGTAGCCACAGAGGGGAGCTGAGGAGATACCCTGCCTGCATGTGATCAATAATTCATGCTGTGTGTTTGCAGGGGAAACACCACTGTGCAATCAAACGTAATGTACCTACAGGAGGTATTTATTGTGTACTCGGCTTATTTTTGATGGACTTTTCTCATGGCGGGAGTTAATTTCCCCCTGCTAGAAGAGGTGCCTTTGACTTGTTAATATGATGATCAAAGGTGATACAAGGCTTTCCCCACTTTTTCAACAAGTCCACATACTGTTAGCAATTTAGAACTTCCCTTACAGCATTCAGCATTTTGCAGGCTAGATTAAACCACAAAGTGGAACACATGATCAACTTCATTTCACATATAATACAGTGTGTTGATGTGTTTCAGGTTGTTAACTTTGGTCACAAATATTGGGAGTATTTATAAAAGGTTGATTGATTAAATTACATTGGGTAATCAGATGGAATTTCAGTCACCCTCGTGGAAGAAATGAGTTGTAGCTGCAAACGGAGCAGATCATATAAATGAGAACATAAAAAAACAGAAACTACTGGAGATAATACAAAAAGAAAATAACACCAAAGGGCTTTCAATGAGAATGATGCAACTGATAAAGATAAATGAAGGCCAAGTTGGAAAACTACTGTCTCTTCCCTCTGAGCCATTACTGGCAAATGTACAGCTGGGAGAGAGTACTTCATTTTCAAATCCGTTAAATAAGTGTTGTAATTGTCTGCTTGGATGTGTTTGTGTGTGTGTAGCTGCAGAAGGACTAACACACACACACACGCCTGCCACAGAAGCCCATGAAAGATTAATGCTGAGTAGCCACTGGAACACTGCCGCAGCCGAGGTGAGCCTTTGTTATTGCAACAAAAAGGTACGAGGAAACTCCTCTCCTCGGTTATGTGTTTTTTTTCTGATGATGCCGGAAAAAAAACCTTGATTTGAGTCTGAGAAAGTAAATAAGGTTGTAATTGCCAGACTTGTGTCATAGAAATAACTTTCATACTACTGCTTTATTTAGTTTTTCATCAAGATAATCAGGAGAACATTATAAATGAATGTTGAGTTAGGTTCGGGAAATAAATCGTCAAATAAATAACTAACCAGTGACTTGAAGCACAATATACTTAATCTGTAAATGTGATTATTGTAAATGAATATATAAACCTAATTTCTAGACAGTATACTTTGGAACTTTTTTTAATATGGGTTTTTTCTATCCAGTAGAAGTCAGCAGAAACAAGCCTTGTAAGCAAATCATAGCTTGTTTACAAATTACACGCACATAACTTACAGTAAGTCCAATGTTCACTCTTTTCTGTTAACCTTTTCTCGAATAAATAATTAAGAAAATATCTCACTCTTAACTGCTAGTTTCTGCACAATGTTCGTTAGCTAATAATTAACTTTCTTTGTCGTTTGGTCCGTTTGGTAACAATGCTGATGAGAACCGTGAGAGTGAACTAAAGCCATAACATGGTCCATGATTGATATGAAAACATTGATTAAAGCAGATTTAATAGCAATACCTTGCTTTCCTCTCCTGTCCCTGCAATGCAGACCAAAGAACCACCCACACACTAACAGCCATTATCTCTAACATCTCCTCCATTATGAATATTTAAAGAAAGCACACATAAGAAATTAAACAACAACAACAGAGTCCCCATTTCCCACAACCCCACAGAGCAGTTTCCACAACAGGAAGCAACAAGAAAGTGGTCCCTGTGACCTAAAATGGCACCAAAATATTTAGAGAAATATCTGTATGTTCAAATCATGATCATACATTGAGGTTATTTCTTCAACTGCATGCTAAAAATCCCCTTACTCTTCAGGGGTTGGTGCAGGGACCTTGTTTTCTGCACGCTAACGGTTGCATAACAGGGTGTTAAGGCTCTGCACGGCCTCTCCCGGGATCCTGAGGGCAACCAGAGCAAAACATGCCCTCATCCTCTATTTCTGTTCTCCGGTCGTCTTCCCTCTCTCTCTCTGCTGCTCCGAACAATAGCAGAGCAGGTAGTTTAAGGTGTCCTCCTTCCTTTCTTATCTCAGAGGGATTTTCTCGTACTTTTTTCTCCTTCCCCTCGCTCTCTCTCTCTTTCCCCGTGGTTATTCCCCCAAGTGAAAATGGGTCACGTTTCTTCTGTCAGGAGAATGGCTGGGAAATTATAACCTCTATATCCTGTGTGTGCGTGCGCCTGTGTGTGCGCATGCAAGGTTTTTAATGTCTAGGGGGTTTCTGAGCTCTGGAAAAGTCATGTGCAAGGACCATTTTCTGGGTCTCATTAGGGGAACATTTTCTTTTTTTGGGTATGGCGTTACAGTAGGGTGGAGTTAGGGTAATATATGGATTGGGGCTACTTCTGACTTTTTAGCAAGTTCAAATTACTCAGGACTGTTTCTGTTAAGAAGACAATGGAAATGCCGTAATTTTAAATAAATGAATCTCAGGTATTCAGTCCAGTGCTTCTCAAAGTGTGGTCCGCGGACCACTGGTGGTCCGTGATCGCCCCCTAGTGGTCCGTGAGTATATTGGTAACATTTCATATTTGAAATAAATAAATATAGTTTTCCGCACTCTCGCAGGAATATCTCCGCAATGGAGCGAGGTTAAGTTTAACTTTCAAATGCATGAAATTGCCCAGCGCAACACCTTCATCACACATGTTGCCACTTGTTTGTACCATTTTCAGGCGATTTATAATCTGTTCTAGAAAAACAATGTGTTTTTTTATATTTGTGGAGTTAGGTGGTCCGCGAGTGTTTTTTTATTGGTTAAGTGGTCCTTGGTATGAAAAAGTTTGAGAAACACTGGTCTAAGCTAACGGTTAGCTAAATGGTGGTAAGATGTTAGCCGATTAGTGTCAAAACAGCATTTCAGCCAATAGGTTCTGCCACTTTTGCTTTTCACAGGGATTCGTTTTGCCTGCATTCGACCAAAGCCGGCTCTTACGTGATTGGTCAATAGTACACGACCAAAAACGGAAAGCCTTCCAAGATGCACATTTTTTCCCGTTGCCTACAGCATGCTAATCAACGGAGATAATGTCTGTGTTTACTTTAATTTAGACAAAGCAACAAGCTCTTGAAGTACAAGAATTATACAATGTGGGTTTATTTGGAAACTATTTGTACCAGAACATTGTACGTTGCCTTTCCCGATTCATTACGAAAAGCGAGCACAAAGTTAGCATTAGCATTAGCAGGTACTCTAATTGAAAAACGCTCAATTCTCCCTATTGTTACAAGATGAGGCTCAAAAATTCTACATTCATTAAGTAACACATGTTACATAAAACTCAAGAACTCTTGCCAACTACTTAAAGTCATGTTATGTGATTTGTTGACCGGGAAGGGATTTGAACTTAAAGGACTTGTGTTAAGTCTCACTGCAATTCCTTGTTGGCAAAGGCAGAAGCTACTAAAATTAAGGATAGCCATTAGGGAACGTACATGTTTCAACTGAATGATGTTCCCATACTGTACATGCAGCAGCAGACTTGTGTCTCTCACTGTATGCGTGTTCTCTCCAGGCTGAGTTTCCATTGTTCCTGTATCTGCTCGTTTTCTGGCAGTATGCATGTAGGCAGCTTTTGATGGACTTTGAAGTGAGCGCACCGATGCACTTCAAACAAGATCTCACACACTTTGCCTGTGTGCCAAGAGGAAAAAGGCAAAAAAAAACGCTTTTCTCTGCATGCTGATAGAGTGCACTCTGATCCTCGTTCTGTTTCTTTGTCTGTTCCTCCATCTCACTCTCAAGACTCCGCTTCTCCCTGCACATCAAGGAGCACCGTATGCTGTTCCACAAGTTGTAGCGTACAAAAGCTGAAACTGTTCCATGCACAGAGGCAGACTTTACCCACAGTTTCAGATGCCAGCATCAGCCTACCACTGTGTGAGTAAAAAGGAACCAGGTTGGGATAAAAAGACTCGGTCTCAGTCGACATGCAGCTTTAAAATACATTACAAAATACTGAGCATGCTTAGAAAAATACGCTTTATTTGCTGTTTAACTTAGCCCATGACAGGAATTAAGAACTATAACTGGAACTGAAGTTAACAAGGAGTAAGTTCAGATGAAATTCTATGCTGATAATCTTTCTTTTTCTTTAGTTTTTATCCAAAAAAAGGCTAGAGATAATATACTATTTTTAAAATAGTGATCTACTTTGCGTAGTATTGCTTGACATTGGCTACAGTATACATGCAAAATGGAGCCTGGTAAAAGTAAATGACATATATTTGTACACATAAATAAAGTCAGAACTTGCTGGTATCACATTTTACAAGATGGAGAAAGTATTTTTGTGTGAATTATGGTGCCCTTTTTTCATTTCAAGTTATGTTGCCACACAAGATGTATCTTTGAAATGACTTCCATTTCAACTGACATTTATAATGCACACGTTGCTGTTAATGCATATGTGGAAGGGTGGCAGTTTTGCAATCAAGACTGGTGAATTAAAATCACGCTCTTTAAAGGCTTACTGCGATACTGTACTATGTGCTGACCGTACCGAAGTGTAGAGGTAGCCCTCGCTGTTCATGGCGACGTACAGCCCTGTCTTGGTGCTCTGGATGGCCACTATCCTGAGCCCCACAGGAATCAAGTTGAACTGCACTGCAAGAAAAAGAAAAGCAGAGAAAGGATGAGTGGTGTTCGAGCAATCATTCTCCCTCTTAAACGCTCACAGTGCTTCCTCGATGCATAAAAACACAATAGCTTCCCAGCTGTCTCCTATTTCATCCTCCCTGTTGTACAGTATATCTGTCAAAGGCGAGAACGGGGGGTGGGAGAGAGAGTGAGAAGCAGGGTAGGATTAGGAGTGGGAGATTTAGGAGGAATAAAGTCTGCTTGCTAATACACCGCAGGTCAGACAAAGCCGGGAGTGAGAATTCCCCTGCTGGAGAGATAGATAAAGAGAGCTTTAGGAACACAGTACATTAGAAAGTGACAACTCCTGAGCCTGCTTTCAATTCATTTCCTGTCCCGACTCAGTAAACAGCACTTTGTAATGCTGTTTACCGAATCCCCGTTTGATGGAACCTTGGATTTTTATATGTGCATAGCTCTCCATATAAACTAACTTCAATTCAGTCACTGGAGCAGCACACACTGATGTTTGTGAATGTGTACATGCAATATGTTAGGGGCTTTTTGAATGCATTACTCTTCTCGCCAGTGTGTGTGCAGGTGTGTGTTTATCCCTCTCAGACCACTGGAGTGTGTGCCATAAAACAGTGCCTTATAGGATGTGACACGCTGAGCTGAGTGATACTGACAAAACGGCCTCTGGCTGCCAGCTGCTCTGTGGTCACGTTGTCATGATGAACACACATTACCATGATGCATTTGGATCCGGGAAGAGACTTACAACCAAAACAGACCAGCTTCAGAAGATGCAACGGCTATTATTACATTATACAAAGTGGGAATAAACACGTTTTAGTTTTTAACTCTAGCACAAAGTTTGCAAATATGCTGATTTGCCTACAATTGGTTATGGAATCAATACCACTCTTACTGTATGTCTGTGCACTCAGACTAATGAGTAGTAACTATATCTGCCGTCTTATGTCGGAAGTTGTTGCAGTTCACATAAAACCATAACCTGTTGCTACTATATGGACAATCATTCTTATTTTAGTGAATAAAATGTGCTGCCCGCTTTGATACTTTATGCCAAGCTTATTGACAGACAGTTACTCAGAGATTAGAGCAGAACAAAAGCAAGTTTGTGTATTTCCAAAATGTTCTTAAGGAGTGTTGGGCAAAACTTGACCTTAATTAATAACCTTTCAAACTTTATTTGACTACTATATTTTAGGTTGAGCATGACACAAGTCTGCCAAGTGACCAATTAAGTGTTTTTTGTAAGCTCAAAAATCAAATGTAACAACAGAAACGCTTATTAGCCATCTTTATGAAGTCACTAACAGATTTAAGCTTGAAAATCAACCAATTTTAGTTTGAGTTCAGGTCAGAAAAAACAAAACCTGCATCATTGTGATGAAGCATGTGAGGCTTTTTTTTTTCTTCAATGCATTCTTAAAATGACAGCGTGTTTGTCAAGATGATGGATCTCTTATACAGATGAAAAATGTAATCTGAGGGGTAATTTTTAGATTCTTGGGGGCATCAGCTACTATTAAAATAAATCAATTTCACATCAACATTTCTGCCAACATAATGGATGGAAGTGAAGTCATCAGGTGGAGATAGAAAGTCAATGCTGGCCATGGTGACAAACACAAACCAAACATAACTTACCACTCTATCAACTTAACCCTAGGCTTGAGTTTGGAAGTGTATAATTAAAGACGACGAAACAACTTTGTCCTCTTTTCATGGAAGATTCTAAAGTTTTTTCACATGCTAGCTAACAAGCTTATTCTTTTTAGGCGATGTGTGGAACGAGCAGACATTTGTTAATTCCAAAGGTTACCGATTATCCCATCTGTCCTGCATCATACATGAAACGCAGTGCAAACAGTGACGTGTGCCAGTGCGTAAATGCAGATGTGGGTAATGAAAACTGCAAATGCTTCTCTCCCCTTCTCCCTCTCTATCTTCAGGGCCCTGCTTCTTATTTGCTCCATCGATCCCTGCATCTCAAACAGTCGCTTTCGCAAATGAACAAGGTGTCACCAAAGACCACGGGCGGGATGACAAATAGAGCAGGGCACGCTCCCGTCGCCTCCCCCCCCCCCCTGTTTTCCATTCACTCTTGTTCCCTCACTCTGCTCGGTATTGATGACCCCACATAACCTGAATGATTTCAAGCTAACAGCGGATTAATTAGCTAGTTAGCTTCAGATCTCCTGCTGCCCCCGTCATTATTACTAAGAATGGAAAGCTTGGCAGGCGTAGCAACAGTAACAGGGCCTAGCAAACTGTCTATTACTTCCTACTTCTCCACCACTCTGTCATTTGTTTCTCTTTATTTCCCCTTCCAGGAAACAGCTTGCTTTTTTTCCTCAATCGAAAGAATCTTCTCTTATCGAATGGATCACACAACTTTCTGCCTGGGATAACAGAGGCATCCCATCTCTCCTCTGTTTTCCCCTTTATCGTCCTTTCTGTTTGACTCGCCTTTTTTTCTCACAGAGGAGGTTGCCGGATTAATCAAAAGTATTTTTGAGGGAGAGACAAATGAAGGGGGCGGGGAGGAGGGTGTTGCCAAATCAATCCCGCAAGTCAATTTGAGGCTTGCGATCATCTACACAGTAAACAAACAAGGAGAAAGTGGAGGTGGGGTGAGATGGAGGAGGGGTTGGGGGGGGGAAGGGGGGCACAGCTGAGGGCACAGCTGAGGGCACAGCTGTGCAGAGGGCATCTGCAGGCCTGCACACTGTCGGTTGCATTGTGTGGCCCAGTTGGTCTCTACTGGAAAGAGAAGAGGATTACAGTCGTTTGTGAGAAGTCACGCAGAGTTTAACTTGTGTCAAAAGCTGACTAGATAAAAGCATTGTGGCAGGATGGAAACTTATTGTGTGATTTTTGAAATATAGGCCCATTCCCAAACCGCCCCCTACACCCTACCCCTCCGTTTGCGCGTTCACACGGAGGGTCCGCCATATTGAGGGCTGTTCCAAAGCAACGAGTGTGGAGGGGGAGTGGGCTATCAAGCCCTCAAACAGCGAGTCTGCAGCGGTGCTGACTTGAGACCGGTCTCTACCTGACCGGAGTCACGCTGTGTGTGTCCGTCAGGAAACACGCTGTTTACAAGTAGTTCCAGCAAACATCCACTGATAAACTGCGATGTTAACAACCTCATGATAACCTCATATGTTTTTAACTTAGGATCATACCTGTGTTTAGTCTAGAAAAAGGTAAATGTGTGCATTTTATTATAAAGTTGTGTATATTTACAGACTGTTGCAAAAACTAAGAAGCTTATAAACATCAGGTTTCAAACTAAAAGAGCTTTGAAACACAATGAAAGATGTTTGGAGTTTTATTTGAGTTATTCATTTAAACTTTTTGTCTAAGAGATGCTGATTTGAAACCGTTGTTACATACAGTTACGGCATTTCCTGTTTCTGCCGGAGAGAGGGGAGGCCGTCCCAAAGCTTGCTGCTGTATTTACTCCCTCCATCTGACAGGAGGGAGCCTCGTTGAGCTGCGAGTGTGGCTACAGACGGAGTTCACTCCATCTCGGAGGGGTAGGGTCGAGGGAGTGGTTTGGGATTGGGCCATAGTCTGCTCTGCGATTGGGTTTTGCCTTTCTGATTGGGTCTCATTTTGTTATATTTAGTCTCTATCAACTTGTTGTGTGGCCTTACAGTGGCTGACCCCAGTAGGAGCAAAGCAAATGTTCTAAGTGGCCAGAGTTGGTACTACATTTCCATCAGTATCATTAGGGCCTAAAAGTTGTGAAAAGCGCAAAAGCCGAATCCAGACTTATTTTCCCTCTCCATTCATCTCAAAGCTTAAGAAACACTATACAGTGCCTATGCTCTATGGGCCCAAGTCCCAGGATGATCCGGGTACTTTTTCTATCTATAGTATGAGTATAGTAGAATTTGACAAACACTAGTGTGCAACTGAGACCATTGTCAGGCAATTGGCACATGGATGTGACCTGTGGTATTAAAAATGTTGGATGTCTTTCAAGTATTTTTAAGAAACCTTTCAGCATTAAAAAAGAGTAAAGGCAAGTATTGACACCTAATTGATACAAAGTACCTTAAAAGCTACAAAAAACAAAAACACTTATGATAATGAATATATGACAAACTAGTTATATTTTTAGGTGGAGGGCTGTGCAAGAATGTGCAAAATATAGTAAGAGGTTATATATAACTTGTGTTTCTGTATTCTCGCTCAGATACCTGTAACACAAAACTAGTTTGAATACATAACACCAAAGACACTTTTCCTAACTTATATCTAGATTCATTTGGCGTTTGCTTGCATTGTGAAAGCTCAGAGAAATCAACCTCGTTACGAATTAACTTACGATATTCTTTCACGTGTAGAAAAACTCTTCCGTGTTATACAATTTCTGAAAAATGCTAAATAAATGAATGAAAAAACGGCCCCAATGTTTTCCTCGTTTTATTTTTGCAATGTCATGATCCGTCTGTTTTCCGTCTTTTTATTTTTTTACATTTTCACCCCCTGTTATGTCTGCTTTACTTCCTGTCTCTCCCTCCTGTTTGACTACCTGATTGTGTTCACCTGATATTTGCCTTCCCTCCCCAGCTGTGTCTTGTCCTTGTGATTAGACTTGCATGCATTTAAGTTCTTGTTTCCGTCCCGTTTGTTGGATCCCCGTTTTCTGTTTGTAGAGTTTGTTTTGATAAGCCTTGCTATGCCATAAACCAAACATTACAATTTTCCTTTGGGTACGTCCTACATTTGGATCCACCCTTCATTGCTCTCTCGTGACAGAAAGCAAATGTCCATGTTTCACGCTAAAAACAATCACTTCCAAAAAATTGAATTACATCTTGAAACAAGGCCCTGGAATCAGTTAAGCGACACTTGAACTGATAAATACAAGCTGATTTGCATTGGCAACAACGGAAACAGCCTCTCTCCATTCACACACTGTCATTGGTGTTGTAAAAAATGAGCTTTAAAGACACACCAGTAGATTAAATTACTTGTAGAGC